GGGGTAATTGAGACGCAATAGTTGCAGCCTGCCAGGGAAAAGCCACTGTGAAGATGCCGACGGGGTCCATCTGATGAATTGTGCTGTACTGTAAAACTTGACTACTTTTGTAAAATGTAATAATTTTATTGGAAACATCTCCCAGGTTTTTCAAAACAAAACTTTCAAAAATAGGCCTAGACCTAGATCTACCGTTTAAAAGGTATCGTTTAAAAAGTGTATCTTGTGGGTTTGATCGTTTCTGTTGCTTCCTCGGCGAAGGTCTGCCACGGCTGGAGTAAACAAAAATAAACAAACAAAAAACGGGGAAGGAAAGTGTCAAAACAACAACATGGAAAATGCATTTATGAAGTTGGTGAAACCTATTGGGTCACGGCTCTTCAGTTTTCCATGCTCCCCACATTTTGAGACCCCTCTTTAAAAAAAAACAGAAAACAACCATACAAACAACAACAACAACAACACCCCTACTAAAAAAAACCCCAAGAAAACAAAACGAAAAAAAACCCCAACTCATCAACCAAACGCACATGATACACATGCTAGGTCCACACTTGTGTATTAAACCATGACGGAGGCCCTGAACCACTGCACCATCTCGAGATGACCATTCGTCCATCAAAAAAAGTGAAGCTACAAATTGGAAGCAACATTTCATTCAAATAGGCTGGGCCTAGGCTAGCCTAGAGCATGTTTACCGTACTTCTAATCCTGGGCGTCGGCGAGGCCACCCCAGCGATCGTTTGGTCTCACCTTCAGCGAGGCTCACATGTGGCCGAACCTACTTGTCAGTGGGAAATGCTGGCTTACGAAGAGGATGGAGGAGGATGGGTGAGGGTGGGTAGTGGGGGAGGGGGGTTGCTGCTTCTCGGTCTCTCAATCTCTCCCCCTAGGCTAGAAGCCCCGCCTCTCTTATTTGACATTGAGACAGGAACCAATCAACTTTCGATAGTTCAGATACAAACTTCAGTCTTGGTTCATCACATGTGCAACATAAAAGGAAGTGAATGTTCAATGTGCAATACAATACAACCCATCGGCTGTCAAGGATAAGCACTCCTCTCTACACAACCGATAGCGATGTGGTTTTAATGTTTAGGCCTATGTCAACAGGTTAGCAGTGTGTGAATTTGTCTGGCCTACCCTGCAAATTGCTACTGCGTCAGAATTTCAGTGTTTCAGGTTTCATACTTGGCTGTAGGAATCGTTGGAAATGGCCTTTTCTTCTTCTGAGAAAGATGTTCATATGGATCTTGCGGATATTTGGCTGGATTTCGAACTGAATGGTCAAACAGTGGAACTGGACGAACTGGACTTAATGATCATAGAGTGTCGTAATAGAGCTAGAAAATGCAGAGATAATTTGGACGCTGGATCTGACGACCATCATAATGTCCAGGTCCAGATGCAGCGCAGTATTGATGAGGTGAGTAAAAGTTAAGCGTAGGCTACTTTTCTTAATGAAAGTGGCTATTCTCACCCGCCCGGAAGTTCTCGCAAGATCAACTCCTCCCCTCTTCTCTCTCTCTCTCTCTGTCTCTTTCTGAATACTGTCTATCGGTGTGGACAGTGGAAGATCAAATTGGCCAAAACAAAGTTAAAAAATGATGTTAAAACACAAAAGTACAAAAGTAAATTAATTTGGTTGTCTACAAAGATGCTACG